GCTTGCCAGGGAAGGTTATTCCTCTAAGCCATTTCCCAAACCCTTTAACTCTTTATTTGTTGAATTGAACAGCACTTATATTATCTGCAGTCCTGGGCAAACAGAAGTGGGACTGGGTATTATGTGGCTTACAGTGTGTGAATTTAGGAAAAGGCAGTTTTCTTGTATCTCAACAGATATGAAAATAACTTGCAATGTGAGAAGAAAAGTTTATGGACAAGTAGTTAAGAGAATATTAGAATATATATTTTATCCAGGCATGGTGTCACAGGCCTGTAATCCCAGCACTGGGGAGGCTGAGGCAGGAGGATCCCTGGGAGTTGGAGGCCAGCCTGGGCTACATAGTGAATTCAAGCCCAGCCTGAACTATGTAGCAAAACTCTTGTCTCTATATATTTTAAGGTGGACATGGTGATGTGTACCTTTAATCCCAGCACTGCATTGGCAGGCTGAGGCAGAAGGCTCACAGAGGCCTGCCTGCTCTACACAGTGAGACCTTGTTTCATAAAAAATAAATGAACAAAACACCCCAAGAATATATCAGGGAGGCTGGGGAGATGGCTCAGTGGAATAAGCGCTTCCCTGGCAAGCGCCAGGGCCTGAGTTCAATTCCCGGTTCTGAAAAAAAAAAAAAAAAAAAGAATATATCAGGGGCCAAGGATGTAGCTCAGGGGCACAGTGTCTTTCTTATAAGTGTGAGGTTGAGTTTGACTCCAGTTACCGGAAAAAAAAATATAGATCTATTTATATCTGATATGAGTACGCTAACATTTCAGCAATGAAACTAAGGCAGAATGCTAACTATCTTTACTTTCTTTGAAGCCTGAAATAGATTTATCATAGCCACTTCATTAATTTTCATATTTGCTAGGGCTGATGGGACCATCATGTCTAAATCTGTTGCTTTACATTGTACTGAACCGGGCTCTAAGTGAAAGTAAATTTTAAAAAATCATAAGCGGACATGATGCTTCATGCCTGGGAACCGAGGCAGGAGGACTGACAGTCGGACGCCCAGCTTAGGCAACTGCGACTTGGTCTCAGAATAAAAAATGACAGTTGATGTGCAGAGCATGAAGGGCTTGGGTTCCGTCCCAAACCTGGCAGTGGGAGAAGCATAATGCGTACTGTGTGCACGGTGGGAAAGTAGTACTGTAGAACAGCTTCTGGGGCTCTCAAGAGCAGAAGTAGCTTATGTAGAAATAGATGCTAAAGATATTTATTTAAGCCTTAAGTATTCATTAATAATTTTCCTTGAGGGCTGGGGAAATGGCGCAGTAGAATAAGTGCTTCCCTGGCAAGCACAAGGGTCGGAGTACAATCCCTGGTTCCGCCAAAAAAAAAAAAAAAAAAAAAAATTCTTGAGTTTTTGGGCCAGTAAGTTCAGAAACTTAGAGTAAACTTAGTCATTAGGATGAGAACAAAGGTTTATGCAGATTGTCTATATTTTAATCAGAAGAATTTTTATTACATTTTCCTTAACTAAATTTGGTTTTTTTTTTGGCAGTGAGGCAGTATGAAAGTGTTCTTCAGAACCCCAGAAATGCTTTCAAAGGGGACACTTCCGTAAACCGGTGTTCTAAATGGAAGTTTTGTTCCTTAGTTCACTTCAGAGAACTTGAAACTTGCTTCTCATTTTGTTCCCCCCTGTAGATCAAATAGAGCTATGTTTATTTTATAATTACAAAATCTGCTTATAGTAAAGACAATGAAGAAATATTAAATGTGGTTAATTATAAAAAATGGCTGCTAGGGTTATTCTTCCTATACCCCCAACACACCTATAGCTGTTGACATGAATATGAACACAGCTTTCTGTTTGGGATTCAAATGAGACAGATTTTTAATCTTATTTATAGTTTGGAAATCTTTCCATGTCAGTGTCTTAAAATCTGCCTCTTTTTTTGTTTTCACACAGTTCTTGCTGTGTACTCTGTGCAGGCCTCGAACTTGCTGAGATCCTAATGCCGTGTACCCCAACACCTGGCATGAAATCTACTTCATCTTATAAATAATTGTATATTAGCATCAAGCTGGAGTACATCAGTTCTTAAACATAGAACATATTTCTTGTAAAGAAAATATTATAGGGGCTGGTGAGATGGGTCAGTGCTCTAAAGCACCTACTTAGAACAAGCTTAGCAAAGCACAGGGACCACGGTTCAATCCCCCAGCACCACATGCCAGCCAGCCCCGCACCCTGATGGGCTAAGCTGCCTCCCCCCACATAAATAAATAAAAAATTTTTTAAAAAAGAAAATATTATAATTGGCTCTTCCATGGCACAGAACTGAAAATTATTATATTATTTATTTATTTATTTAGGTGGAACCGGGGATTGAACTCAGGCCCTTGAGCTTATTGAACTCAGGCAAGCGCTTATTCTACTGAGCTATCTCCCTGGCCCCTCACCAGGAGTTTGAAGCCAGCCTGGGCTACATAAGCAAGTTCAAGGCTAGCCTGCACTACATAGACTATAGCTGAAAAAGAAAAAAAGATAAACCCCCAAATAAGTAAGCATCTTGGGTCCAGTAGCCCTCCATTCTATTGAGATAGCTCTAGGTTGTGGGTATTGGTATTTTTGTCCCAGCAACAACAACAACAAAAAACACCGAGTATTTGATCCCTGACACACAAAAAAACAATGATTAACACACATTTATAACCCGAGAAGTGAGGTTATTAATAAGAAATATTAAGACAAAAAAAGAAATGTACTACTTGTACGTAATACCTGGTAAGAGAAAATATACCTCAGATTTGATAAACCTAGAAAAAGAACCAAGGCTTTTTTTTTTTTAATTATTTATTTTTATTTATTACATTTATTTATTGTGTGTGTGTGTGTGGCCAGCTCAGCCCACCAGGGGGCAGGGCTGGCTGGCATGTGGCGCTGGGGGATCGAACCGTGGTCCCTGTGCTTTGCCAAGCTTGTTTCAAGTAGGTGCTTTAGACCACTGAGCCATCTCTCCAGCCCCAGAACCAAGGCTTTTTAAACATCTTTTTAAAATATAATTATAGCTTTTCCTGTGAGCAGCCTTAGGTGACTTGTGAAAATGGTTCACTACTCTCTTGACCCAGAAAACCCCACAAAATCATGCAAATCAAGAGGCTCAAATCTTTGTGTTCACTTTAAGAACGCGTGAAACTGCCCAGGCCATCAAGGGTATGCATATTTGAAAGGCCACCAAGTATCTCAAGGATGTCACATTAAAGAAGCAATGTGTACCATTCCTGGCGTTACAATGGTGGAGTTGGTAGGTGTGCCCAGGCCAAACAGTGGGGCTGGACACAGGGTCGGTGGCCCAAAAAGAGTGCTGAATTTTTGCTGCACATGCTTAAAAATGCAGACAGTAACGCTGAGCTTAAGGGTTTAGATGTAGATTCTCTGGTGATTGAACATACCCAGGTGAACAAAGCACCCAAGATGCGCCGCCGTACTTATAGAGCTCATGGCCGGATTAATCCATACATGAGCTCCCCCTGCCATATTGAGATGATCCTTACTGAAAAGGAGCAAATTGTTCCCAAACCAGAAGAGGAAGTTGCACAGAAGAAAAAGATATCCCAGAAGAAACTGAAGAAACAAAAACTTATGGCACAGGAATAAATTAAGCATAAAATAAATGCAAATAAAATTTTAAAAAATATAATTATAAAAAAAATTATACATATATACTTGATAAAATTTATATTTGTTCTGCATAATACTAAATTTTCTTTCTCCAAGACAACACACAGGAATAATGTTAAGATCAGTATTTTAGCTGGGTTTGATACACAGCTTTTTTTTTTCTTTTTTCTTTTTGGCGGAACCAGGGATTGAACTCAGGCCTTTGAGCTTGCCAGGGAAGCGCTTATTCCACTGAGCCATCTCCCCGGCCCCTGGGTGTGGTAGCGAGTGCTTGTAATCCCAGCCCAGGAGATTCAGGCAAGGAGGGGTCTCTTTTTCTCTCTCTTTTTTTTTTTTTTTTTGGCGGAACCCGGAATTGAACTCAGGCTCTTGTGCTTGCCAGGCAAGTACTTACTCTACTGAGCTATCTTCTGAGCCCTAGGAGGGAGTCTCTTGAGAGGGAGCCTAAGCCACGTAGTTAGTTCAAGACCATCCTGAACAACACAGGGAGACCCTATCTCACTAAATTATTTAAAAAAGGGCCGGCCAAATAGTTCAGCAGATGAAAGTGCCTGCAAGCAGGCTCAGGGACCATGGGTTCAATCCCCAGGCCTGCTGTGGTGGCGCGCATCTGTAATCCCAGTTTTTAGGAGACTGTAAACAGGCGAATCACTACAAGTCCAATCTAGTAGTGAGACCCTGAACATCCTGTAGACCCTTCCCTAAAAAAAAAAAAATTAAGAAGTGTTACCCAGAACTATGTGAGATTTCGTTAATTACTTTTTGGTACAACTGGGTCAAGTATGTGTTGCAAGGCAGATTATGTTTTCCTCTTTTTCCTTTAGGAAAGGTTATTTCTCAGTGAGGATACTGTTAATGAACTTCTTGAAGAGGTCCTGAGCCCTCCATTCCAACAGACAGGGCCTCCAACCCCACCATTAGTTGAAGTCCTTCAGGTTACTGATGAGAAGATTCAAATTCATGCAAAGGTGAGATTGTGGTGGCTTTTGGGGAAGTGACTAGCAAGGAGAAAGCCTAGTTCTTAATTTCATAATGTTGTAACTTTATTTATTTTGTTGCCAGGAATCAAACTGAAGACCTTGTGCTTGCCAGGCAGGTACTTGTGCCAGTGAGTTATATCCCCCAGCCCAGTGTCATAACTACAGAACAAAATGTACTGTGTATGGCTGGGCAGAGAGTAGGAGAAAAGACGTCTGCATATTTCTGTGTGCTTACATGCTCCATGATTAGAAGACAGAAGTCTTCTTGACTTCCAGGTCATGGCAGTTACGTCACAGAATTTGTCCATTCCGTTCAGTTGGATCCTTAAGTTGGATGTTTTTTTTGTAATCTTCAATATCGGATACAAAAATAATAGTGACAAGTACCACTGACATATGAACTGGAGAATCACAGAAATTCAGGAAATCTCACCTTGTCCTTGTAAAAGTGACTGTTCAAGGGACTTTTATTTTTATTTATTTATGTGTGTGTGTGTGTGTGTGTGAGGCCAGCTCAGCCCACCAGGGGGCGGGGCTGGCTGGCATGTGGTGCTGGGGGATTGAACCGCGGTCCCTGTGCTTTGCTAAGCTTGTTCCAAGTAGGTGCTTTAGACCACTGAGCCATCTCTCCAGCCCTCAAGGGACTTTCAGACCGTGCTTGAAAGCTTGCACTACTTGGTCCTGAAAGAGATAAGTAGCGACTGGAAAGGTTTAGTGCGATCATGAAAGCCAGTTTAGCTCCGATAGAAGCGGCAGTGTTTGCAGCAGGACTGTGAGGAGGAAGCACGGAAGCACATTTGCGGGTCTGCAAGGGTTACTTCCATCCAGATTTTCTAAATCCATTTGGGGTGGTAAAATGTAATGTGGTATTTTGAAGAATTATTATTCTCATTTTTTCTTTGATAGTTACAAGAATGCAGTAATCCTGATCAGCTTCAAGGAAAGGAAGAAACAGTCAATGAAGGATGTCCTGTAGCTGAAAATGAAATTACAGAACATCTCACAACTTCTACAGTTGATTCTGATTCATCTATAGCAGTTACGGCACCAGATGCAGATACTTGTGGTTCAGCTGCAGGCTTTCAGCAAGAGCCTCTTGATGTTTCTCATATGATATTAGGAAACTCTCGGCCACCTGAGGCAAAAATAGAACCCGAATTTGTAAAAGAAAAAAGTGCCACTTATTCAAATAAGGAAGATAATTTAAAGGAACCTGTCATAACTGCAGAAAAAAAATTAGATGGAGGTCACCAGTCTTCATCACTGAACAAAACTGTAATTCACAATACACCTGATCTTGGCATCATAAGAGAAACCAACATGCAAGATGGTAGTGTGCAGATTATTAAAGATCATGTGACTCATTGTGCATTCAGTTTTCAGAATTCTTTGCTGTATGATTTGGATTAATTGAATGTAGTTTTCCGTTTGAATCTGTAAAGTACGAACTTGTGGGACCTCAGATTGTTTAATTATTAGAACTAAAAGCATTCCAAAAAATATAAATTAAAATTTTCAATTTTAATTCCAGCAGGGAACCTGGAAATACTTTTCTTTGAACAGTTTCCTTAATTATAGAAATACTAGTTTTGTGATGAGATTACTCTGATACTTTTTTCTAATGGAGAGTAAAACATTTAGTTTTAATACAACCTATATTTATTGACCTCTGATGTTGATTTTTGCTTTTATCATTTTAATAAAATTTCAAAATATTCACTGAGTTGTTTTGTCACACATAGTATTTCTCAAGATTGGAAATAAGTAGAAATATGTGCAGGAGTAGAATTTTGAAACTACTGGTTTTGGGCCAGCCAAATAGCTCAGCGGATTAAAGCATCTGCAAGCAGGCAAAGGGCTGGGGATCTGATCCTCAGGCCTGCTGTGCCCACGCGCTGAGAGTGATGGAGACTGGGCGTGGTGGCATGCGCCTGTAATCCCAGCACTTTGGGGGGCTGTAAACAGGAGAATCGCTATGAGTCCGATCTAGTAGGGAGACCCTGAACACCCTACAGACTCTTCCCTAAAACCAAAAGAACCAACTACTGGTTTTAAGTGTAATGTGTTTATGCTGAAGACAGAGGCAAAGGAATTTTAATATCAATGATTAAGCAATTACAAATATACCAAATGAAATTGTTTTGCATCAGTTTTTCTTGAATCTGTCTCAAAGTGTAATTAGTATATGTGTATTTTTAAAACTAAAGGTTTTTTAAATTATGTATTTGGTACATAAATTATGTATTTGGTACATAAAGGGTCTCACTACATAGCTGACTCGTGAAAACTCAAGTTTTTGAAGTTACTACTGAAATAGTAAAACATCTTAATTTTATAGAATATATTTAAGGGAAGGGCTGGGGATAGCACAGTGGCATAAGCGCCTTTCTGGCAAACGCAAGGTCCTGAGTTCCATCCCTGGTACTAGAAAAAAGGAAAGAAAAATAAAAGTTAAATATATATAATCAATTTCTTTTATAACACAAAATATAAGGCAAAGAGAAAAAGCTTAATCAGTTTTCTTAGTTTGGGACAGTATGAAAGAAAATATAGTAAGAAAAAGTATTTGTTGATGCAGCACTGAGCCAGGCCGTGAGCTGAAGCACCGTATTTCAGGTCTCTGACCTGGTGATAGAAGGGCGGGGTGCCAAGAGCTGCTGCAGACCCTGGTGACTCACCTGACTTACTTTTACAACCTCAGGGCCCAGATGGGCACCAAACACAGGGCTGTGCTGGCAGTACAAAGGAGCCCCACAAAGCGAGGCAACGACCTGCCTCAACCTAGACGAACACGTTCATTCCTCAACCACACTAAATCTTGAGTTGATATTGACACTGTCTTACATTTTCTTAGATTGAAATTCCAATAGCAGTATCTTTACACAGAAATTTGTCTTAGGAGTAATTTTTGGTTGAAAGCAGTTAAAGATTTCTATATTAAATCTGAACAACATTTTAAGCCTATTTTCTATTATTTACTGCCCCACCCTCCTAGTCTGAAGCACAAGAGGCAAATGTTCACCGCTGAGCTACACTCCCACTCCTTGTCGCTATTGTGGTTTGTTTTGTATTTAGGACAGGGTGTACAGGGTCTCGGACTCCTAGTGATTCTTCTGTTTACAGCCTCCCAAATGCTGGGATTACAGGCACGCACCATCAGGCCCAGTCTCAATCGCCTCTCATTGCACCCCAGGGGCAGGGCCAGCAGGGCAGGCCAGGGGATTGAACTCACGGCCCCTGCTTCTGTTTGTTTTGTTTTTGAGAGCATCTCACTACGTGGTGCAGGCTGGCCTTGATCTCAGGGCAATTCTCCTGCTGCAGCCTCCCAAGGGCTGAGATTTCAGATGTGTACCACCATGTGTGGCCTTGTTTTTGAGACAGGGTCTATGTAATCTAGGCTGGCCTTCAACTTCAGATCCTCTTGCCTCAGTCTACCGAAAGCTGTGCCCCATCCCCATCCCTGTATCTGTTCTTTAAAAAAAAAAGTTTGACCAGGGCTGGGGAGATAGCTCAGCAGAGTAAGTGCTTGCCTGGCAAGCACAAGAGCCTGAGTACAATCCCCAGTTCAGCAAAAAAAAAAAAAAAAACTATGACCAAAAAGAAGTCTGATTTCAGTTAAAGCTGGCACTAGAATATGTTGTTGCACTTTGGCACCACCGAACTTTGTATCATTTCTGGTGTTCAAAAACAATTTGGGCTGTATTTCCCTTACACAGCAGCTTTTTATTGTTCCTTATCTATGCTTGGCTTTTTTTTTTTTTTGTACCGGGAAACAAACTCACTATGTTGTGCTTGCCAGGGCAATGCCCCTGAGCTATATCCCAAGCCCTATTTTTTGGTACCAGGAATCAAACTCAGGGCCTTGTGCTTGTCAGGCACGGGCTGTGCTACTGAGCTGCGTCCCTGGCCCTCCTTAGCTAATCTGAAAGCCATAATGAAGGCAGTATGAATTGGGTTTTATTTAAAACTCATAATGCATAGACAGAAGGTAAATATTAAGATATAATGCTAATGTTCAATACTAGAATATCTTGAATTTTGATATAAATGAAATTCTGCAAAATGATTAGGAACCTTTTTATGCAAAAATGAGTATTTTATTTTGGCAGCACTAAAAGAAAAAAATCAAAATGACTGTATTTCTACAATGAGGTGAAAACAATGCTTAAACTTTCTTATCAAATACATTCCAAAAGAAAGTGTGTTCTATGAAGTTTCCAAACCACAGGCAAATCTTAACACAACAGTACAGGAATCCATAATACTGAAGATGATGGCTCTGAGGGTGTTTAACAAATATAACTGTTGAGTTCTTAAACCACTGAAGCAATCCCTCATAACCATGTCGAGTGAAATTGGACTTGCTCCATTAATACTCTAATGATTTCATTGTAATACTTTTTATGTTACTGTTATGAGTTTTAAATTCTGCTGTACTGAAAATAAGTTTTGAAAGTGGAAAAGTGTACAAAGTTTTAGATAAAAAGATTAATAGATGCAATTTAAATAAAATTTCCCATTATCCTGTGAATTAACAATCATGACCTTTAGCAGATACAGATTGAATTTTAAAACTCAACTGGCAAAATGAAAACTTCACTTTCAAATCTTAACCAGACATAACTGAAAAAGATTACTATATATTTGGACAACTTTTACAAGAAAAAAAACTTTTGTATTAAAGCAGAAACCAGTTCCTAAACCCTTTTATTATTCAATTGTATATTCTGTTGAGACAAATATCAAAAATAGAAGACTGTCACTTTTGCTTCCGTAATTGTGATTTTTTTTTCACTGCAGTCTTCTATAACTTTTACAGAGTTCATGGTCCCTAATATCTCCCCACCCTCCATTTTTCCTAGGTGGGGAAAGGGCTACCATAGTAAACTTCTCACTGATAGTCAGAGTTTCTGGAAACATGTACTGCTTGTTATTATTTAAGAGTGACTCGATCTGGGCACTCTGGGTGGATGGCCTACATGTTTTCTTGTGATGCATACCACAGTCTCCAGCATGAAAAATCCTGGGAACTTGAGGAACCAGCACTTTCCAGTATTTTGGAAGACAAGATACAGTCAAATACTGAAGAGTCCAGTCCCAGTTATAATCATCATAAGTACAGAAGGTGTCTGTGCACTCAATCAGCTTCTGATATGCCTCCCGAGTCAAGGCTAAGCCCATATTGTGCTCTGTGGATTTCCAAGTTTTCACATCTACCTTGTCAGCAATGCCATGGAAACTACGAGTGGCAGTATAGGTCCCCAGTGAGAGAACATCACACTCTGGACACTCTTGCTGCTTCAACTTCCACATCTTTTTGAAGACATGGTAAAAGTCTGGGGCTAAGTAGTGATCTTCTTCTAGGAAAAGTATAAGGCCAGTGTAATCTCGAAGAACTTTGACCCTTTCCCATACAAAATGCAGCTTCCACCACCAGTGATGTTTGGTTTGGGAGAATTTGGCTTCTCTATAATGACCAAAGGAGTCAGGGTACTCAGCATTAATGCACCCCAATTTCAAAGCTGCATTCTTCTGCAAGTCTCTGGGGCAATCTCTGGGGTCACTGCCTGGAAACTCGTTCGGGTACAGCTGAATGCTAAAAGGAAAGAACACCTGCAGAACCGGACAGAAATCCACCCCAGCGATCAGCTGGTTGATGTCTGTCGACCAGAAGTCGTGGCTAAAAACGACGAGAACGTCAGCAATGCCCTGCGCTTTCCGAAGTGAGTCCAGCAGCAGTCGGAGGTACTCGGGCCGGTTGTGCACCTGGACCACCAGCACCAGCTCCCGGGGGGCCCAGGTGCCAGCTTTCTCCACATTCCTCAGCGTCTGGTCAAAGTTCAGCTGGTACACCAGGGACCGGTACCGCAGCGTCAGGTTGTCCGCCTCGGCCTGCGGGGCGGCGGGGACCAGCGGCGCCGCCGAAGCGTTGGAGCCCCTGCGTATGCCCACCGACACGGCAGGGTGGTCCCCGCCCCGGGCGCCCGCACCTCGCGCGGGCTCGGCGTCCAGCAGCGGCGGGGCCAAGGCCTCGTTCTTTCTCTGTCGCCCATTGCTGCTCCAGAGGACGAAGCCGCAAGCAGCTACCACGAGCGTTAGGATCAGCACCTTTCGCTTGTAGATGCGGAACCTCATGGTCTCCGGGGCCGGGAGCGCGGGCGGGCGGGCGCGGAAAGGAGCTGGCGGCCTCTGCACGGAAGGGGCGGGCGGGCGGTGGCCGTCGCCTCGGCCTGCGGCGGTAGGAACTGGCCCCCGCGGCTGTCCTCGCTAACTCATCGCGGGCTCCCCTGGTGCCGGGGCCCGAAGGCTCTCAGCTGCCCCGCGCCGCCCGGCTTCCGCACATCCTCGTCCGGCAGCTGTAGCTGCTAGGAGCCGCGGCTCGGCAAAGCCTCGGTCCTCTCCATTCAGTACCGCGGGTCCCGGAAGAAGCCCAGCAGCGGCCCTACCACACCCCAGCTTCGTTACCTGAGCCTCCAACAGCCCTGCGTCCCCCGCGTTCTCATCCTGACTTGGGCTGAGGGCGGCCAAGACAGAGCGACGCAGCTTCACGGTACGCCGGCAGCCACAGCTCTGACAACCCGCGACTGGCCGGCGGAGCGCCGCGGCCCCGGGCCCACACCCTCCGACCCGCCCCCGAGGCCGCTGGTTGGCGCGTCACAGAAGCGTCCACGGGAGCCCTGCCACCGAAGCCGGCTGCCGATTGGCTCGCAGCCCTGTCCCTCA